ATTCTGAAGTCGAGCCCATCGAGTCCCCGACTGTGCCGTGTCGGTCATTATCGCCATTGGGGGCACGGAGACCTGCCATGGGCGTCTCAGGTACTGTTGGTTGGTACCGTGCCAGAATCTGGTATTTGTCTAATGCACGACACACAATGTCAGGGAGGCTGCCAAAGGGGGTATGATCCTGCTGGTAGTGGCTGTATGTGGAAGAGAGAGACTTACACATGCTCTGTGAAATGTCACGCCCTGGCCATAGAGCTTGACAGACAACCAAGTACTGTGTTATAAAATTGCAACGCTTCTGACGTGCCTTGCGGAAATCGACCCGAGTGAAGTTGTCATCCTGCTCCCAAGTCATAATTTGGGGGTGAAATCCAGATCGCACCCGCTTTTCACATGGCTCTTTCTCTTTCGTATTACAGCTCTCTTGATTTTGTGACTCGATTCTCTCACCGCAGTCTGGGCAATTGAAACGGCGGCTGTGATGACGTTTAATGTGCTCACTACTCCTTGATTAGTATACGGTTTCTGGTTCTGTGCTGTGTATCCATCCGGAATGAGTACTTCAACTTCGCTATGCCCTTGAAGGCTGTCTGCACGCACGAGCTTCCCATTGCTTGTTCTTCCGATAAGTAACGCTGCGGGTCGAAAGCAACAAACGGGCAAAGGAAGACTTCGGCATTGGGTGGGGACACCGGCGGGTGAACCATCGGCACTGCGACTCCAGGGCGGGGGAGCAGCCGGGGAGCACGCCTGCCCCCGGGGCGTCCATGGGCATCAGCCATGGCTAGTTGGGTTATTATCTTCCGACTTCTCACGTCGAAGCGAGTCTCGGAAGTAGTTTTCAACGAATGGACCTTGCGATTATCTCACAGATCCTGCGACAGTTCTCCTCGCGTGTCTGTAATCGCTTCCAGCCACTGGCTTCCAGTGCGGTATCTAAGAACAGTAATTCGGTGACAGCGGAGGACTGTTGGGTCAGGAGCCAACTCCCGAGCATGAACGAACGGGCGGGCGGCTTGGTGGTGCCAATGTTTGTTGGTTCGCTGTTGTCTTATTAGTGACCGGCGGCCGGGCAGCCGGCCGGCTCAGCTAGCATTGAAGGCGGAGGTACCTCGACGGTAGAGATGTGCACTTACTCTACACCACAGTCGCTCATGGCAAGCAGAGAAAGGCCGAATCAGTCAGCGGTAGATTAAGATATGTTTGATTCTGAGACGGACGGGAATTAAGAAGGAAGATGGCCCAGCAGCATGAGTACACTGAGTTGGCAAAATTTATAGTACCAACCTTGTGCCCAAATTTGCGGTGCGATTTCCTAACCTACCCCTACTGGCTCGTTGTTGATGCGGTGATGCTGCCTGCCTGGGGTGCCCTCTAGTCTAAGGCGCAGGAGAGACGATCCGGGCGTATTGTCGCGTGGAGCTGCCTTTCTCTCTGTTTCCAACGAACCGGCTCTATCAAACGAACTGATACTATCTCTTCTACATTGTGTTATCTTGAACCAGGAGTAAAATCGCATGCATAGTTTACCGAGCGTTGCCGATCAGAATAGCTGGCCCAAATCTACGGAGCAAGGCCTGGCACGATGTCACACTCCTCTGTCCACTTGGTTTCACGGTCGGATTCTATGCTTGGTAGGCAATGCAAAAGCTCGGCAATTCTTCATTTTCTCATTATCTTCCTTTCGGTCCTACACGAATGGCTCTGCGTCTTGGTTCTCAGCCAGGTCTACAAGGTGGGTGAAGGTGCGAAAGAGGTAATGCCATTCTGCGTCCGTGTAGCTCTCTGGTCCATTGTCGATCAAGTCATTGTTGACAGGTTCGTCTTCCATGATCTGTTCGTCATCTAGATCCTGCGGATACCCGGTATTCATGCTCTCAATCGCCGTCGCCGAGTTCAAAATCGAGTCGTCGCTGAATTTACTCCCAACCCCTGACGTAAACGCGTTCATGTATGCACCGCCTTGCTGCAGGTGTTGTTGGCCTGACTGCAGCTCTGAGCGCGATGTGGCCAGCTTCCTCATGCCCCTCGTGATCCCTTCACTACTACCGTAGCCAGAGTCCAACAAAGCACGTCTCTGGATACTTCCTTCTGGGGGCTGATAGACGTGTTGTCGAAGCAGGGCTGGTAAAGAAGATGGCGCTGTCGGTCTCATGCCGATCAGTGTTTGGCGCTCATTCCAGCGATCCATGGGTAGCGACAGGGCCAGACGGGGCTCTGGTTTATCGCCCTTCAGCGGCCAAATAGATCGGCGGATGATTTCGACCTCAGTCCCCAAACTCAGGCCAGCCCTCGCGACATATCTTTGTCCGTCCCAGACGAATTTGTTGCGGAAGTCCACTCTGGAATATCGATCGTACTGTTCAGGAGTCATAATGTACGGGTGGAAGGATGTGATGTGTGCGCCGTTCTTCTGGCACTCGTGCCCGAGGCGATGGGCCTCGATAAAGCCAGCAGGATCTCGGCACCCGCAACGAGCTTGACACTTCACACAGTTATAACTTGGCGAGTGGCATCTTTTCAGGTGATCGCTGCATCCATTGTTAGTCAATTTCCGCACATACTGTCAGGCAAACCACCAACCGCAGAGGTCCTATCTTGGAGAAAGGTTGCTTGCATGCCTTAAAAGGCTGGGTTGTTGCCATGTCGTAGAGCTCTCGGAACTCGTCTGCGAATATGCAACCGTACCATTCGCGCGCCATGGCGTGAAGATTGCCGGCGGGACACTTCTTGTGGTGGAGGTACTGTAACCCTGCCACGTCCGTCTGAAAAGGGCTGACCCTGTATTGTTGATCGGGTCAGGAACCAGGTCGATAGTCGCGCTCCGCAAGAGTCGACCCTCGATTCGGTGAACCCTAGCTAGCCTCGGTTGATGACACTGTTGAAGCTCTCAATTATCTCTCTCGACTTGTCGCAGTATTTCTGCTTCTGAGGGACACTCTTCCGCCTTGTTGTATCCAACTGCAAGTCGATCATTTACGCACAGGGACTCCTTTGGTATCTTCAGCCAACTGCCCAGCATGAACGAGCTAACACGCGGTATCGCGACCTCCTCTGTATACGAAACGTTACTGAAGAGATCTCAGTTCCTTTTCTCGCGTGTTGATACCTTGTTCGGTCTTACACCGTACCATTCCCCCCGTACATCTGTGTAAGGCAAGGACGAGAGTGATGGTTCGCAAATGCCTGACTTGGCGAAACTCAGCGGTAGAGAATCAATGTAGCGAGTGAAGAAGACGATGAATGAAAGTCCGGGCGATGATTGAGAGGCGAGAGCAAATTCCGGCTCTTTTAAGTCCATTTTCCACCGACTCTTCCCGCCCGTCTCTGTTCAGTGCGAGTTCTGAAGCACGAGCACAGAGATCGTGAGGGACACTTTACGAATGGTGTTCCATGCCCGCCCTCCATATCGCAAGAGCTTCACACCAAATCGCCGCCCAATTGACCTCCTCCTCGGCCCAAAAGCACATGCGCCCCCTCGTTTCTCCCAGGGTGAAAAAAGGTACCTGATGCGTGAAGCAGATGTACTCAGACTGAATCGATGCCCGGGAGGCTGCTCACGAGGCATCTCCCATGCCCATCGTGGAAGTCATTCTAGCTCCCTACATGCCGCCCAGCTGTGATGATTGGCGTTGAGGCGCAACCCGACGTCGAGCAGTCCGGCGCCTCGCCGCTGACCGCTCTTCGGATCACCGCTCGACTCCGATCAAGGCGACCGACGATCCATGGTACATTTGAGCCTGAAGGCTAGCCTCTACACAGCCACGGCCATTGGGAGCGTGTACAGATACATCAGATCACTGGAAGGTATCGCGAAAGACGTCGTTTCGTTTCAGGTTATCTCAGATACGTCGCGGCCAGATCTTGTGCCGCCGTACCACATGTACCACTCACTCAGCGGTAGATGAGACATAATATGCACAGCGTCTGGCCTGTGGCTCGTTCGCCCGCTCGCCCATTCTCCTGCCCTGCCACGCTCCCTACTCGCGATGCACAGCGCTCTTCTCCTGGTGGCCCATCTCCTCATCGCCCAGCACCCTGTCGCGCCCCGCCCCGCCAATGGTCTCCATACCGGCGACCTCGCGCGCATCATCGTCGTCCTCGACGTCAAAGCTCCGGCGCAGGCGCTCGGGACCCAGGATGGTCAGCACAATGACATAGGCGAAGACGCAGCCCATGAAGATGCAAATGACGCGGCCGTAGTCGTAGCGCGTCTCACCCTTAGCCGTGGGCGCCAGGGGGAAGTTCTCGCCGAGGCGCGACTCGATGGTCGAGCTCGCGCTCGAGGCGAGGTTGCCGAGCTGGTAGGCCGTGCCGACGACAAAGGTCCGGAAGGCGCCGGGGCTGAGCTCCATGAGGTGGATGGGGATGACACCCCAGGCGCCCTGGACCGCGAACTGCATGAAGAAAGCGGCGGCCATGACGCGCGAGTTCGAGACAAAGGTGTAGGGGTACAGCATGGCGCCGCCCATGACGCAGCAGCAGAGGATGCTGAAGCGGCGCCCAAAGATTTGCGAGCAGTAGCCGACGGTGCTGCCACCGAGCATGGCGCCGAGATTGGGCACGACCTGAGTGACGGTGACGAAGGTTCGCCGAGAAATTCAAACTGGTTCTTGAGCATGGTCGGGTACAGGTCCTGCGAGCCGTGGGACATGAAATTGAAGCCGGCCATGAGGAGGACGAGGTAGCTGAGGACCTTCCAGTGACGGACCAGCGCGACCTTGCCCTCCTGGAGGAAGGTCGACGTGACGGACCGCTGCGGGGAGCCGTCAGCGCTGGCTGTGGTCTCGTGCTGGTGGGCGGCGTGCTCGCGCAGGCGCTTGTGGGCGAGAAACGTCTGCGTCTCGGGCAGCATGAGTCGCCAGATGATGAAGAGGACGGGCGGGCAGGCTCCGAACCAGAAGAGCGGGCGCCAACCGTGGGGCGTCGTGTCGACGAGGCCCCTGGCAAACGCTGTAGCGAGCAAGTATCCAAAGGCGTACTGCGTGAGCACGTACGTGTCAGTGAGGCAAACAAATTGGGCAGCAGAGGAGCGCGAACTAACACCTTGTTGCAATATGCCGCTCATGAGGCCGCGGGCCGCTTCAGGGACATCCTCCAGCGCCGTGGCAGCGGCATTACCGTAGAGGCCGCCCATGGCGACGCCAAACAGTGCACGACACACCAGGAATTGCCGATACGTCTGGCAGAAGCCGGTTCCCTACCATCGCAAGTTAGCACGGGAGTTCACCGCAGCAACGTTCGACGTCGTGATGAGGCTGATTTCCACCCCCGGTATGCGCCCCCAGCGACGGACTAGGGCCATATTATAGGGCGATTGCGTGCAGCAAAGCCACCCTCTCCCCACGACCCATTGTGTATTGTTGCGACGAACAGGCGGCTGGGGACGGGGGTTCGTGTTCGCCTCTCTTGGTGCCCAACACGACGCAGCCCAATGTATCCCATGGGCTCAATCCGCGACCAAGCGGTGTAAGGAGATGACAACTCACCAGCTCGAGAATGACGAATAGCAGATTATTGACGACAAACGGCCACTTGCGACCGTATCGATCGGCGGCGATACCGAAGATGACAGAGCCCACAGAACGGAACATGAGCACCAGCGTGATGCCCCACGTGATGTCCGTCTTCGTCTTGCCAAACTCCTTCGCCAGTTGCGTCACGGTCAGGGAAACGGTGAAGAAGTCGAAGGCATCCCACGTCTGTCGTCGTGTTGTTGCGTCAGCTTCTATTGGTTCACGACCCGTAGGATGCCGTTTTCACCGTCACGACGAACAGCGCAACACCGTTACGAGGAAAAGGGAACGTGGCAAACATACCCAGGCGGCAAAGGCCACGCCGAAGAACGCCCATTGGTGGCGGTTCAGCATTCTCACGAGACGCCAGGGGTTCGGCGCGGCCAGCATCGGCGGCTTCAAGGTGCTGAACCTGGTCGCGAGGTAGCGGCCGGCCGTCATGTCGGCGTGCGATGCCTTGGATTCGTTGACCCTGGGCTGCGGATCGGGGTCGACGCCCATATTCTCGTGTGCTGCCATGTTGCTTCTGGATCTCAACGTGCCTCGACTCACTAGGAAGGAAAAGGATCAGTCGTGAAAGCTCTGAGGCACCAAACCCTCACGAGACACAAGCCAGAGGTGGCGGCCAGCTCTGATATAGCTATCATTTCATGGCGCGCGCCCACACGCGGGGTTCGTATTTCCCAACCCCAGAGGCATGACTCGTCGTGATGATGCAACACTGCACAGGCTGTCACTGGCAGGCGACCGTCTTTCACCGGCAGTGGGCTCTAGGAGGGTGTCGTCTGTCTGGGGCTGACGTCGACATGTCGCACCCGGCACGGAAGTGCCGAGAAAAGGCGGCCGGTGGCGGGTCCACGAAGGACGGCGCCAGCGAAAGGGCAGACACAGTAGTAAGTAGTCTCTCCTTTCGAGCCCCCTTCACCCCAGACACGGGCAGAAGAGAATAAGCTTCTCCGGGGCGCCCTGGGGTGTCCCACAGCCGCCAAATGTTGTTTATAGACAATTTTGGTATATAATTGACTTTTGTCCCTATCACGCGCGTGCCCTTTGTTCCCCCC